AAAAAAAAAAAAGATGTAATCTAATAACTAGTTTGTCTTCTTTCCAGAAAGGATTACACTTGTTCTAAACCATTCATGGACATAGCACATTTCTAAAGGTTTTCTAGAAGGGAAATTTCCCTAACTTCCTTGTTTATTGCATTACCCAACCCGCCTCCATCATCTAAAGTGAAGACAATGTTATCTTTTCTTCTACTATATTTAAACTGCGTAGCCATCTTTATGATTTCTCTTGCTATTTCCTTAAACTAGTGACCTCAAATTTCACATATGGATTTACCAATACTTAATTGCTTTAATTACATTCCTGGGTATATAAAAGATTATTTACTGCAGTCATTAATTGTAGGTCTGCGTACACAATTAAATATAGTTAAAAGTACCTGCTGTGAAACCCAAAACTTAGTCAAACTTCCCCAACACTTATCAGTTATTCTTGACACTTTTTAAGATATACTTTAGTATTAGGTAGGCATGTAGTATATTACTTTTCAAGGCTTACCGTAAACTTTGTCCACAAAACTGAAATTTGGAGAAAAAGCTGATTTTGGAGCAGTAAAAAAGCCAGCCAAATGACCTCAAAATAGTAACGGCAAATGGAAATACTGTCATATAAACAGCTGTCCTCCAAACGACTGCGTCAAAAGGGACCTCATGTTTTACTAAGCAAAGTCTGAAATTAAGAGCAAAACAAAAGTAGAATAACATTAAACATTCTTGTCTCATTTCGCGTTATGTTCACAATGAAATCATAGGCAAGGAATGTAAGTAAGGAATTAGGAATAAATATGAACGCAGCATTAAGTAAGGAAAATTGGCTGCTCCGATGGTAGAGGGTTATCAGAACTTATTAACATTAGTGTCACTAAAGTTGGTATTCAACCCCCTCACTGCTAAATTTGAGTGGCTAAAAAAAAAAAAAAAAAACAAAAACATTATTTCCCGGGTCCCTTTTGTGTTGTTATAGACAAAAAGGAGAAAGAGAACTGCCCGTCACAGTACACATAAAGGAACACCACTGGTCAATGAACAGAGCATTTTGCAAGAAACAAACTCCAGAGCAAAGCAGCGAGCGCCCGTACGTCAGGAATTGGAAGTCAGAAAATGGGAGAGGAGCAAACAAGGATATGATCCCCCAAAAGTCTACCTCATTAGGCCTGGCCAAAAGCCAAAGCGCAGGCGTGCAATTAATCTCACTGAGCGGAATTCAACCCCCAGGCCCGGCTGGTGCGGAGGCGCGGACTGAGCGCCGCAGCCGAGGCCACCTCGCGCCCCGCCGACCTCGCCGCCCCACAGCCCTCCGCCGGGAGCCGGCGCCCCCCGCCAAGCCCAACCGTCACTGCTCCGCCGGCGCGGAAGCCAAAAGGCAAGCCAAAGGCCTATGCGCCTGCCTCCCGCCCAGGAGCACGCCAAGACACCTGCGTCCGTCCTCACCCAGCCCGCGACCCCGGTTGCGGATGCCCAGAGCGGAGCAGAAAAGTCCACAGAGAAAAGCGGCGGCCCAGCAGCGCCAGCAGCGCGCGTGCGCGAAGCCCCCGCACAAGCGACCGCCCGGGCCAGCCGTACCGCGCGCCCCTGGGGTTTACGTCTGTTCGCGGCACGAGAGGAGGGGGCGGGGACCAGCGCCGGCTTCGGATTGGACGGCACTAAGAGACGGGAGGGCAGGAGCCCCATGATTGGTGAGAGCGGTGCGCCTCAGGATTTGAAGGGAGGAAGTGGCGCGCCCCGCAGCTCCGGAGGACGAGACGGATCTTCCAGTTCGAGCTGAACTGAAGGCGTTGCCTTGGAAGTCTTGGCCAATTTGAAAATGAAGCCTACCTTTTTCAGTTTGGGATCCCAAAGCACCGTCAGTCACTTTACACACAAATATTTCCGGCGAACTAATCACCTGACACGTTTCTGTCCTTTTGTGAGCAGATGCGGACATTTCCTATCGCCATTTGCTACTCGCTGAAATATGTCATGTTTTACCTTCAATCAGCAAGTAATTCCTCGGGAACCAAGTTTCCTGACAGTTCACTAAACCTAATCGCCCCTTTGTAACGGAGTACGGTTGGTCTCGGTTGGAAAAAAATGAGATTAGATGTAATTCTTCCCTAATTAGCTTCCTACTTTTCTCCATCCTCCTTAGGCCACAAATCTCACCGCCTCTGCTCAGCACAAGCGCTTTTACTACTACTTACTTCACTGTGACCATGGAGGAATATAATTTCACACCTTTCACTAAAAATTTATCTCAAAAAACATTTTATACAGTTCTTTTTCTCAATATTTTTTCCATATACTCTGAGGGACCAAAGCTAACGCCTTAACTTCCATTAATTCAGCAGTTATTGAATGTTTAAGATGCCTGGTGCACTTGGGAGGACAACAAGGGAAAACAAAGCTCAGTTTAACAGTCGCTATTCCTGAGTTTAGCCTGCTGGGGAAAGACATCTCTATTTGATCACTTGCCTAACTACCTCCTCCAAAACATTGCTGAGCTCCCTCTCTCCACAGGTTCCTTTCTGCCTGCGAAAATACTGCGTCTCTCTCTCTCTACACACACACACCTTGATTCTGCTTCATCATTCTCTCCCTCCCTGAATTGTCTCCACTTTTACACCTTACTTTCAGTCATTCCACATTACCTAGCCTAGTCCTGAACACTTTAACATTTGTTTTATCAGGAACGGCCTCCTAATTATTAAACCCAGTCACGTCACCGCAGTTCTGACATCTCTTCTTGAAACTGTCTAGCCTTGGTATTTTACAAACTGTAATTGCCCCTATTCTACCTTTGTCCACACTCAACGAGCACAGTGGAGAAAATCTGAAGATTTTCCGAATCCTGAAAAAATAAACCAAATATTAGTTCCAGAACTGAAAAGATGTATTTGAGTGTAATGAGCCATCCTTCTTTCTCAAAGTGTCTTAACCCCTTTACACAGTGGCCATACATTAGAAGTGAACTGCTAGAATGTGTCTACATGTTCCAGACTATCATTCACTCTGTATCCTTGGTACCTACTCAATAAATGTCCTTCTTCCATAAACATCAAGTCACCGAAGCTCTCCCCGTAACACTCACCAACCTGATATGACTCTCTAGTGACAGAGATCTGCAATCCGTATTATCTGCAGGCAGGAGAGCACCGACTCTGATGCCAGGCTGCCTAGATCTGAATCATGCTCTGCCTCCCACCCTCTTCCTAGCTGTGTAGCTTTGAGCAAGTAGCTTTAACCTGCCAGTTTCCTCATTTGTAAGATGGGGATAATTAGAGCACTTGCCTCAGAGGCTTGTGAGGATTTAGAACAATTCCTGTAAGGTATCTAGAAAATCATGGAAGTACTCAACAAATATTAGCTATTATCTTACACCTCAATATCTAGACTTACTTGCCAACTGGAAAGGAGGAATAGAGTTCCCATTGTGATTTCTAAATCTCCTTAGACATTGAGTAGAGCCTGCAAAGGCCCCATGGCCAGCATGCCTTCTCAGGGAATTAGAAGTGATACATACCCAGTTTTTTAAAGCCAGACATCTCCCACAGCTCCGCTTTACCAACTGCTTAAAGTGGTAAGCCTTGGCCACCAATATCCTGGGGAATCTGCAGCCTTTAGGCCACATGTGGCCCTCCAGATCCCCAAGTGCGGCCCCTCGACCACATCCAAACTTCACAGAACAAATCCCCTCTTTAAAAGAATTTGTTCTGTAAAATTTGGATTCAGTCAAAAGGCCGCATTCAAGGATCCAGAAGGCCACAGGTCCCCCACCCCTAAATGTTCCCTACTCTTTCATCAGACTGTATCCTGTTCCCTGAACACGCGGTCCTTTTACCTCACTCCCCCTGTTGAAATCAGATATACCTTCCAAATCCTGCCAGCTCAAATAAGTTACTCTTTTATGCCCACTAATACAATTTCTACATTTATTACAAAGCTGAACCCCTTACCTTCCATAAATTCTGGAAATGCCTTCTTTCACTAGTTTGTGTGCAGACTACCTTTTCTTTTTTGCACATACCCCAACAGTGTTCAGCACAGTATCGTGCACATATTCACTAACTTGCAGAACTGTCTCAATTCATTATCCCATTCTAACCTCAGGTGGCTCTATAATGACTGAAACCTCAAAGACATGAATTCTTAATTCTGAGCTAGATTCAGCCTTAAGTTAGACCCCTTGCTGTGATCCTACATATCTACAAGTCTGAAGCAACTCCTTTAACAAAAGGAAGACCTTTGAGAATTATTTGAAAAGGATTTTTTTAACATGGAACATGCAACTTTACAGACAAAACATTTTAATTAGACAATAAAACTCAAATGTTTCTTAAATTAAAATGAATATATTCTATCAGCTCAATCCTTTGCACATAAAGTTGGGGGGGTAATGACACTTTCAAGGAAAATTGTCTTTGAAAATTAGAATATAGTTATAACAAATTATGTCACCTAGGCAATCAACTGTTAAGACACAGCCTGGGCTGTGGGACTCCATCTCTACGAAAATAAATGAATGAATAAATAAATAAATAACATTTACTTAACAGTCAACATCTGTCAGTTCTAGATGGTAATCTACATATTGACTTTTTACCTTTTAAATAAATGTCATGTTTGCTCATCTACTAATTTTTGTTTGTTTGGGGTTTTTTTCTTTTTGTGACATGGTAAATGGAGCAGAAGCCTTAACAACTATCTTAAATAAAATACATTCGATTTTCATAAGGCAACAGATTCATATCTTTTAAAATATATTTTATTAAATAACCTACTTGGGTAAGAATTATAAAAGCTTTAAAAAGTAATTCCGAGTAAAAGCAATTTCCCTTTAAAAAGAAAAGGCCAAAAAGTCCATAATATGTTTTGCTGCTTTATACACAGGAATGATTTATTTTACATACTAGTCAAATGCAACATTAGCTTGTAAAATTAAAAACGTTTTTGTATGTCTCAAAGGCATAGTGAATTTCATAATATGTTTTCACATTAACCAGTACGACAAAGCATAAGAAACTGAAGACTACGGAAACAGTTCAAAATAAAGTTTACAAAACAGGCACTTTGAAGTCAGCTACTGTGTGTAACTTTCACAGTTAATGTTACTTATACATATTTCATTTCATCAAAGGTTATCAACCAGTGAAGTAATGTTCCTTTGATGCTAACGCACAAACAGGTTTAGGTTCCAAACACTGTGTTCTGGTTGTAATACACATAAGACAGGCCCCTAAATTAGAAAAACCTTTTGAAAGAAAATGAAGAAAAACAAAAGGCAGCCAGAAATGAAAGCATTTACAAGCATTGAATAAGGCCTTTAAATGTTAAATCAGTGTTTTAAACCCCTTCATTCTCAGGTAAGGGATTAAGAGGCCGAGAGAAATATCCTCTGTGAGGGTGAGGATACTGGAGGCTGGCAGTGTCAGCATCACAAGAGTGCTCTACCAGAGGAGGCGGAGGAGGAGGAGGGGGAGGTGGAGGAGGAGGAAGGAGCTGGGCATAACTGGACCATCTTGATCCAGCCCGTGGGGAATCCAGAGGGGGAAAGAAATACCTGAAACAATGAAGACAGGAACAAAACACCAGAACAAAACAACACAACAGGGGGGGAAAAAACAGAAGAAAAAGAAAAAAGTAGTAAATACAAAGAGAACCAAGAGTTTCCAGAAAATAAATGCTGGAAAACAATAAGCTTTAGTATATTCATGCCAAAACTAACAGAACATAATAGCACAAATCAAGACCCTTACTCAAATCAAGATTGCTTAAGCAAGTATAGAAATTTGAAAGAAATACAATCTGTTAAACTTAAAATGTCAAAAAAAATTATCAGTATGAATGTTACAAAGAAAAACATTAATTCTAGAAATTTAAAACATTTTCTAATCTCTGAAGAAACATCTGATGCTAGTTCATAAATTTACAAATCTAATAAGCTTCTTATTTTAAGCAATGCTTCATTTGTAGCAGCAGTAAGCACACTTTTTTTGGTGCATACATGATACTGAGAACAAATTCACATACATTTTTACATAGTATGCCTGGCTACTGCAACATACTTTTGAAGAAATACAGTCATTGAATATACTTATTTTTCTGCAAAAACCTTAGAATAACTACAGAATTTTGATAAGTGAAACGGTTCAAAGAATTATTATGCCCTTCTGTTATTCTTCTGTCATTTTATGACTTACCCATAATACTTATACATTTTAGCAAACTTAAATCTTTTACAGCTTGTCATCAAAGTCAGAGGTTTACAAGATAAGAACTGAAACACTCAACCAAATGAAGAAAATCCTGAGACACGAAATGTTGAAGTTAATTTACATGCACAATTTTAGTAGCATTTTAATTGCTTCTCTCTTACAGTACGTGTGCAAATTTTGATTTGAATGACAGTAAGCCATGAAATCACACAATAAAAATACACAAATGCATATTAGAAACATTTCTTCAGTGAATATGAATTGAAAACTTATAAAGGTGTTTCCATTTTACTAGCAAATTATAAATGAAACAAATACCACATGCTTAACTTAGCCACAAACTGAGCAAATTACTTTCATTTTACTATTAATACTTTACTAATTCACTCCTTTTCTAATATTTTTTAAATATTACAAAGAAATGACAGAGTTGTACTGAATATCATGTATTAAGAAATCCTACAAAAAGTAAACAAATTAGCACTCAAAGCAATCTTTATAAAAAATATTTATTCAATTTTCAAATTAAAAGTATAAAAATTCATCATTTAAAGTTTACTGTTTTAGCAAACAAAGAAATATGCCAATATTCTCCAAATGAAATAAAGTGATATTTTTCCTCCTCCCAACTACTTACATAAGGATAGTAACAATCCTTCTAATTTTTAAACCCTAGTTTCAGGAACATTTCAAAAAATTGTTTTTGACAATGTCTCAACAAAAAGCCTCTCCATTTATATTTTAAAAGTTTCAAATAGTGTCAATGAACTGACTAGTACACAAAAATGATATACACTGTATTTTTAAAGGCCTTTTAGACTGCATTTAGTAGTAAGCAGGCTGCTGGTGTATCTTGGGAGAGGTCAAATGGCGCTGGGGAAGGGGAAAGGAGCTTGCTTTCCATTCCTGTGTGCATGCAACAAGCAGCAAGACAGCAAAGTTACTCCAGTTAGCTTGTACTCAGCTGTGCTTTCTGTTAAAGGACATAATACAAATGGAGAAGGGAAAATGCATCATAGATCTAACACAGATGGTTATTGGCACACTAAGAATACAGATCAAAACGTCAAAGCTATTTACAAAAGAAAATATGCAGTACAGGCAGTGACCAAACACCAGTCTTCAAAAAAAAAAAAATTAACTCTAGTATTCTTTGCTTAATGAAATCATCTTTATAATGTGATATCTTCTATGACAACCTGAAATTGTTTTAATGCAAATACTTAGAACTTCAAAATCAAATAGGACTTCTTTATAAAACTATAACATAAAAACAGTTGAAGAAATTTTAAATACAATCATTTTCTTTTATTTAGGATAACAAGATAACCACAGGACAATTCATTAAAGCTATGTTTTGAAGTTTCCTAAATTCTATTCCAAATTATTCACAAAAACATATTAAAATAGTGGTATCTTACAAATTCACATATTTGAAATTTAAATATGAAAACAAAAGGAAGACTTTAGATCACATCAAATATTCATTATGATAAACAAGAATCTAAATATTGTAAAAATCAAGATCTCAGATTTTATCATTTCCTCTTATAATCTCCATTAAAGTTTTAAACACAAAAGTCAAATCATTTAACGTACTCTCTTCTACAAAACCTTAATTAATGTATTATTTAAAACTTCAACTTGACCTGATGCAATGGCCACAGCACAAGCACTAAAAAACACTATGGTACATCTAGGACTAAAATTCTCACTATTAAACCATAGTTGCTCTTTCTCAGTGCTGCAGAAAATAAAATCTTAAAACTATAAACATTTCTACTGATAGATCACTGAATTTCAGAATATAATTTAGTTTGGTGGCCTCATAACCTACCTGTAAATGTTTGACCAAGTAAGACAAATACAGAGCTAACAAAATAAATTTTTAAATTCTAATGTCTTAATTACATGCAAATCTCTTCATTCCATCTTATAAATCATCAAATAACCTGTCTTTAGTATAGCTACCAGAATGATTTAAAAAATATATAATTTCTAGTTTTCCCATAAAACAGCCTACCTGCCAGCAGAAGATCCATTTAACGAATTTTGAAGATTTGGAATATTTGAACCTAGGGAAGGATTTGAGCTTCCCTGCTGAGAACTCCCATTGACTGGGCTCCCATTACCTTTCAAAATACCAGTACACTTCCAATTGTCCATATAATTAGCTGAAAGGAAAACAGCCAAATACATTAACATGATTAATACCTATGCACAAGGGCACAAACCTGTATTCATATCCTTAAACCATAATTAAAGAAACAAGAGAGAAGCCATGGGCTACATTTCTTTCAGGGTAAACATTAAAGATGTTTTAAAAATGAAATACGTGTTATCTCAGTTTTAATAATATTTTTAAGTTTTCAAAGAATTTTTAATACTAATTTAAACACATAAAGCTTTCATCACCCACCTCCCTTCCTTACAAGGTAAGCATTAGCAGAAAGAATTCTCTAAGCTATCACATTATGATGCTAACATCAACATAAAATCTTTGTCTCCATTATAATGAATTTCACTTACATATATATGCAAGGTAATGGAGTTGTCTTCTTGGTTATGCAAGTAAAAGTTATGTGGGTACCTAATGTCTTCTGAGATGGATGGAGGTAACAAAACCTTTGGTATTTGAGTTGCTTACTGAATGCAAAATTGGCCAATGAAGACAATGAATCCAAGAAACCCCAGTTAGGGAGCCTGCTGGGGTGCACAGCTGGGTGGTCCTGACTAAGGCCCAGAGGCAGAAAAGGAGAGCAAAGCCCTTGAAATCAAATTACAATGAGGAAAGGAAGGTCTGGGCTGATTCTATCAAAGCCTAAAACTGAACATAGGAGGCCCTCAAAGCTTAGCCAGACTGCACTTGGAGAAACAGTAACTGCTCAGTGTAAATGAACAAAGACAGCTATAATTTTGAGTGCTAAGTATGGGACGCCACCCATTATAGCGGTATGTAAACCACGGACATCTCTGTCCAGTGGAGAAGCATCCATGGAAAGTGCAGAACCAAGCTACAGAGACTGTAGTCAGCTGACCAGACCAAGTTCCCTCAGTTTGGCATTTGTAAAAAACTGTTAGAATCAGGGGCCCAAGGTTCTTAAACTTTTGGGTATTGTAGAGGAAGCAGGGAAAATACTAGATTTTCTTCTATTAAAGGACTGTTTATCTAAAGCAATTATTTAATAAGAGATGATTGTAGTTCTATCCTGAGTTTGTAAAGCAGTCATACAGGTTACATATATGACAAACAGTATCTTTTTATTGGACATATTGCATATTCTATGATATTTACTCTAGTTTTAAAAATGTTCTGTTCCTGGGCCGGGCGCGGTGGCTCACACCTGTAATCCTAGCACTCTGGGATGCTGAGGCGGGCAGATCATTTGAGCTCAGGAGTTCGATACCAGTCTGAAAAAGAGCCAGACCCCGTCTCTACTAAAAAAATAGAAAGAGGGGCCGGGAGCGGTGGTTCACGCCTGTAATCCTAGCTCTCTGGGAGGCCGAGGCAGGCGGATTGTTTGAGCTCAGGAGTTCGAGAC